CGACTTATATTACTGGTTTCAATTTATTTTTTAAATGAATATTGCCAATACTAACTTATGCAATCATGTATCAACAACAAAGCGATGCAAGTAGAAATAAGATCAGCACGCTCCAAGAAAGATGCTTTAGAGGGTTATCAAGCTTGCAAAAATTGTAAGTACGGGAAAAGAAAATTTAAAATCTAATTTTGCTACTGACGCTGCTCAAATGATACCATAAAATAATTATTATGATTACGAAAAGAAGCTTCAACATTTATTGCATTTGTGAATGGACTGTCGAATTTACGTTATAATATTAAGACGCAAATAAATTCAGATATTTTGATTAGGTAATTATCGTATAACATACTGTAGTAACTAGACTCTACAGCACATGATTCTTGAATGTATATTCATATATTCGTCAGTTTTAGCGCGCATCTACTGTACATTTAATACCGTCGTGTGATTTTCCTTTACTTCGATATGCACTGAATTTAGTACTCTACAAACGCTCAAGTACTAGAAATTATTACTTACACAATCATGTAGCAAACAATTTATGCTGGTAATAAAATTATATCACGTAAGTATACACAAAATTTCATACAAGTTCAATCATACTTCTTAAATTATGAGTGAAAATTATGAATAGTGCTACGTTCACTGATTTTTTCGCTATTCTACAATCTTACAACTATTATACGCCGCAATTATGAATAGTACAGGCACTTACACGATCATTATTCAAATAATACGGAGAGTAAGAGCAGTTGGTTTTACTCAAACATTAAATGAATGTGTGTATGTCACAACCCTCACTTGTGGCAAAGGAAAGTAAAGAACTCTAGTGTAGTTACTTAAAACTTGGGCTATTTCTCCCAGTACTTTCAGTTTCTATGAGAGAAGTATTTGAGAACTCGATTTCTCGGCTGATCTCCACAGACAACTGACTAATTATTACACTATTCTTCACGATATGAGTCTTGCCGTTTCTTGAGCAATTACTTTCTTTATTCTACAAACACACGCGCTTAAATAGGTTTCTACAGTGAATTCCAATATTAACGAGTGAGAATTCATGCTTTACAAGTTACATTAATTAGTATAATACCATTACTAAATATACATGTCGATATCCTCAGACTTAGATAGCTACAAGCTATCAGGTGTTAAGACGCTTAACCTTCGTCCATATACAGCTCAATTTTTAGAGATTAACACACCTTATAAACCTACAGTAAATTAACTGCTAACAACTTCTATTTTTATCTCACTTCTACCATCCTATTATCAGCTACAAGCGCATTAAACATAGCACATAACCTTATCTATCTAT